AATATTTCTTCCTGAGTCAGCTTTATCATTTCTGTCTACCAATTTGCCCATTTCAAGAGTTGTCAAATTGTTGGCATGAGGTTGTTCATAACATTCCATTATAATCCTTTTAATTTCAGTAGGGTTCAGGATGTTTCCTCTTTCATTACTAATTTTGGTCATTTTTATCTTTTCCCTTTTATCCTTGGTCACTGTGTTAAAATTTCATCAATTGCATAGATCTTTTCAAAGAACTAACTTCCAGCTCCCCTGATTTTCTTGTTTTGCTTGTTTATAAAAATTGGTTCTGCTCTGGTCTTTGAATTTGAATTAGGAAATAATTCACACCAAGCAAATTACTCAAAAATTAATAAATTTTCTTTTAACTCTAATATTTATTGCTTAAAAATTAGTAACAGTATAAGCTACACAGAAAATCACTTCACATTCCAGATTATACTTTAATATGGACATGAAGATTTCAAATTCCTTCTTCAATAAATCAGTCTAGCCAGTGGAAAAAAAATTGAACTCCATCTGTCTGTATCAATTTTGCTACCAACTATGGCACATTCAGGGCCAAATTATTATGGGGTACTCAATATGTAGCCTTATAGATAACTTCTAGTTAGTTATGTGGTGGGAATGATGCTGTCTCTGTATCAATGGTAATATTGATATTATTTCAAGATCTCTTAATGCCTTTCCTTTCCTAAAAAGGATTAAAGCTTTTAGTGATTTAGGACCTCGAAACATTTTATTTCTCTTCTTTTCATCTATCTCTTCCTCTTAATCAGCACTGCATATCTGAAATATTGATGTAGGTTCGCAGTTGGCTAGCTGCCTCCAGGTTTTCTTCACCCTTCACAGCATAACCAGGTCAATCTTCCATCTCTTTGTGGGTCTTCACATGTCTTTTGTCGCTCAATCTACCTTGCATATGTACTCTCATTCCTGAATTTATCCATAATGTCAAATTCATCTCCTCTATGTGAATTGCTTTTAATCCAACTCAAACCCAATAAACAAGATGTGGAGTGGGATTTTTCCTGTTGTTTTGAAGTTACACCTAAGGCCCAAAACTGAGAACCTAAGACATGAAGTAACCCACTTCTAAGTTCAAAGAGACCCTACAGGTTTAGGCCCTGAAAAACTTGTTTTAAAAAAGCCAGAACCAGATGTGTTATATATATCAACCTTCTACTCTGTGTTGATACAGGCAGGAATAGGGCTGTGGGAGAAAGTTGCCTGCTTCAGGGGAGTATAGTCCTCCTGCTGACATTTGAATGCCAACATTAATACATTTTACTAACTGGGGAGGTATGGGATCTGGCCAGGATTCCTTATGGGAATTGCTAACCAGCAGGAAAGGAGGACGTGAGAAAACAGTTATTGGGGAAAATGAAATTATTAATTATTTTTACCCCAATGGACTGAGCCTTCTACAAACCCAATCTGATATACAAAAAAGGAATTTATTGTGATAATTTATCAACTAACATTTGTTGATTGCTTCCCATGTGCCAGGCACTGTTCTAGGCATGGGAGAGAGAGCTCTGAAACATTAAGCAAGGTCCCTGCCCCCCTGGAAATTGTAAGAGTCTAGGAGGAATGCGGGCTCCAGGCTGATGCTCAGTGTCATCAGAAATATTTTTTCCCATCTCTCAGATTTTCTTCCTTTGCATAAGCCAAACTGATTGCAATGTGGCCACCAGTGCAGCAATTCTAATAGGGAGAGAGGCTGTTTTCTCCCAGTCATTCTAGTAGAGTATCCAGACTGTCTCATTGACCTAGCTTGTACCAGATGCACGTTTTTGGACCAGACTGGCCAAGTCTAGGTTATTGGTGAGGTCAATTATTTGTGCAAGTGTTCTCTTCAAAGAGGACAAAGAGGGGCTGGAATCCAATTCAGGAGTACTCACCAGTTCTTTGACTGATGCACTACTATGTCTCCTGGAGAGGGGGGCCTTTTTGTAATTCACACCGAGACACTACAGTGGTCTTGGTCACGTGCTCACCTCAGAGCAAAAGTGAGATGGTGTTATCCTCATGTGAAGCAAATGATCTGAGGGTGGGGAAAGGACAGTTGGGGTGCCATTGCCAGAAGACAGGAAAAGGAATGCTGGGCAGGCAGAACGACAATTTCGAAACCATGGCAGAACGAGGCAGTCCATTCCTGGAAGCAATACTGCATATTACTTCCAGCCAGAAATTTGATTAGAGTGATTTAGAGGGGGGAAGGAGACTTTAGAGACAAATTAGTCCTTCTTCTTACCCCGTCCACCATGAATTTCATTTACATAATGCAGCTCTTAGTACAAATGAAATGAGTCAGCATCAGGGAAGACAAATTGAAATATGACTTCCATACCAAAGGCAATTACTTATCTTTCTGTCAGCCTCAGTGAGTAAGTGACCTCCTAAGTAATAGAAATGTTTTTAAAATAGAGGTCAGTATCCAGTTAGGTCACAAATATCTGTTGTGCACAGGATTTTTTGTATTTTTAATTGTGTAAAATACATATAACATACAATTGACCATCTTAACCATTTTTTTAAATTTATTAATTTTAGAGAGAGAGGAAGGAGGGAGAGAAAAAGAGAGAGAAACATCGATTTGTGCACTTATTTATGTACTCATTGGTTGCTTCTTGCATGTGCCCTGACTGGGAATCCAATCCACAACCTTGGTTCATGGAGGCAATGTGCTAACCAACTGAACTACCTGGCCAGGACCTACCATTTTAACCAGTTTAAGTGTATAGTTCAGTAGTGTAGAGTACATTCATATTGTTGTGCAACCAATCTCTAGAACTCTTCTAATCTTTTCCAAAATTGAAATTCTACACCCATTAAACAACAATTCACCTTTCCCCACTCCCCTTACTCACTGATGACCATCATTCTATGGCTCTGATTACTCTAAGCACTTCATCGAGTCTCTGGAATCATATAGTATTTGTCTTTTAGTAACAGCATTGTTACCTCCTTCATGCTCCCCAGCCCCAGAACAGACTAGGCATACACTAACAGGCCCTGGAGCAGGAGGCCCTGGGTCTGCTGTTCTACTCTGCACTCACTCCAACAACCTGGAATGGAGGTGGGAGGCATGGTCCGGCTCTGAGATCCTCTGAATCATCCCCCTTTTTTCAAGGCTTAATTCCCATCCCATTGAGGGGTGGGCTGGGGTACAGGTGAGGCAGAGGCTCCTTATGTAATTGGTCTTCAGCCTGGTGGTGGAAAGTCTTCTCTCTTCCTGCTTTGGCATGGTACATGGTTGTCCTGAGGCCGTTCTTAGAATCAGCTGGATCTTCCTATGATGCCTTGTAGAGGAGTAGCCATAGCTCCCTTGGGCTCTTCCAGCTCTTTCTCCAGACCCTCTTCAGGAAGGTGACTTTATAGGCAACTCCCAGCTCCTCCCTCCTCCAGTAACTTCTGAGTTCCTTCTTATGGGATTGGTGATGATCTTTTCCAGGCCTCAAAGGCCAGAGAGAACTGCAGTGAGGTATCCCTGTCCTTTCCTCGGCATGTTACATTGATGCTGCTCTCAGCTACTGGCTTAGACTGCTCCAGAAACGTCCAAGTGTGACATAGTCAGTGGTGTCTACATTCACACACATCCCCAAACTTGAAGGGAGCAGGAGAGATGACACCTATCGGGATCTTTCAGTGACTCTCCTGGTGCCCTCCTAGAGTGGCAGCACCAGGAACACTCTGCAGCTTCCTAGCTGGCAAGTGAGGAAGCAGTCCTCCCTTTTTGCCTCCCCTGAAGGCTCCCCCACCTGCCGCTGCTTGTCCTGGGTGCAGGTGTGGCATAGGTGCTCAAGGCAGGTGGTGGAAAAGGGATGTGCAGGGAGGGAAGGAAGTAAACATCTGTTGCTCTGATACATATATACATACACACACGGCTAATATGTATTTATCTATATCATCTATGTATGTCTCTCTCCCTGGATGGACATATAAGAAACTGGAAATAGTAATTGCCTACAGTAGGGAGTTAGGAATTAGCAAGAGACTTACTTTTCACCATACATCCTTTTCTATTGTTTGAATAATTTTTTTGAGGATAAAACCAATAATGTAAGTAATGAATTCAAGAGATACTTATAAATCATAAAGCATAATACAAATAATAGGTTTTTATTGTTGCTATTGTATTATCTGTCTACCAGCAACAAGATATAAAACATTGGGTCTTTGATTATTTAATTGTGAAAATGTTGACCAAGTTAATAATAATATGGAGTGAGTCCATTTTCTTTGAATATTTAATGACATTTGCAAATACACAAGGTGAGTGGAAAAGCATTAAAAATTGTATGTGTATGATTACAGTTTTGGGTATTCCCTGTATAAAACACACTTCTACAAAGAGAAAAGAGACTGAAAGGACGTGTCAATATTTTGACATGGAGAGGGGAGATATAAAGTGTTAATTTTCTTAATTATGTCTTTATATTTTACTTTTTTAAAATAATACACATTTTATCTTTATTTACTTTTTTTTTCTTTTGAGAGAGAGACGGGGGAAGGGAGGAAGAAAGAGGAGAGAAACAGCAATGTGTAGGGAGAGATCCGTTGCTTCTCACTCGCCGGCATCCGGGGACCTGTCCCGCAACCCAGGCAGGCATGTACCCTGACTGGGAATGGAACCAGCTACCCTTCCATTGGCAGGCTGGTGCTCAATCCACTGAGCCACACCAGCCAAGGCTGTACATTTTACATTTTCTACAACAAATTAATGCTATTTAGAAAGAAAAAATCACAACACTTCAAACTTCGAAATTTTTAAAAATTTCGTCACGATGACTTGTAGGACAGGAAAAAGGCCAGCAACCGCGTATCAAGAGGACATTGGAAGGACATTGGAACACTCCTTCCAGCCTCGGAAGTGGATGGAGGACTACAAGGAGAGGCGAGAAAGATGCCGACCTCCTCTAAGGCTAGAGCGGCCACAAAGAGACATGGGAACTTCCGGGGCGGGCTCTTCGGTCCTTCCTTTACTTTCCGCGTGGCGGGGTTGGGGGGGGGCAATGTGGGTGGCTTGCAACGTAAAGATTCGCGATTGCTTGGCTTCTACTTCCGTCACTTTGAAACGGTGCCTGAAATTGGGGGTGACCATGGCGAAGAGCAAGTTCGAGTACGTGCGGGAATTCGAAACAGACGACACCTGCCTGCCCTACTGTTGGGTGGTGGTACGGCTGGACGGCAGGAATTTCCATCGGTGAGTGAATGGGCTCTGGGCCGCGCGGCCGCCTGCACTTCCGGGGAAGTCAGACCCGATCGCAGACCCAGATTCATGGTCACCGGAGTAACGTGGCAGCCAATGAGCGCGCGGCATTGAGCATAATTCTTGCTGGCTGTGACACTCTTGGGCGCGAGCCGGTCCGGGTAGTTAAAGGCGACAGGGTGCCCCCCCCCGGTGAGAAGAGAGGTAACTGTGAGCAGAGACATGGTGGCAAGAACCTTGTGGAAAAAAGTCACGTTCCGTCACGGTACTTCAGCTCTTCAGCCAGTTGCCCAGCTATTTTGTTAGAGTGCTGACTCTTCAGAGGCCCACTTAGGCCTTGCTGTGGGCAACGCTTTACACTATGTTCTTGTTTCATTGTCAGTAACAGGCCACATGGACTGGGCTCAGGAGGGAAAAAAAGGCAGAAGGGTAACAGATGGGAATATAGTTTTTTTAAAGTGCTATTTTAATATCGATTATTGTAACAAACATTTATTGAACACTTCTAAGGAGCCAGGCATAATTTCATTTGTTATCTTTCCCAAATCATCAGGACAGTTCTATAAAGGAAATAGTCTCTCTCCCCATTTTATAGAAAACGGAATCGGGGTTTAACAATTATGACCCCTTTTCTCAGTTGGCCAGGACAAGAAAAACCTTCATTCTTAAGGTAATGGATTAGGTTGCGGCTGGTGGAATGTTTGGACTCCCAGCACTATTACAGTACATTCCTCTTTGAAGAGCCTCTTTGATCTGCAGTGTTAATGACAAGCTCTCCTGCGTTCATGCCCTTTGCCCTCTTTCTCTTATGAAGGTTTTCTGAGAAGCACAACTTTGCAAAACCTAACGACAACCGTGCTCTCCACCTAATGACCAAATGTGCTCAGACTGTCATGGAAGAACTAGAGGATATTGTGATTGCATATGGACAGAGTGATGAGTACAGCTTTGTGTTCAAGCGGAAAAGCAAATGGTTTAAAAGAAGAGCCAGGTAATTCCATAGCCCAGCCTCACTAGAATATTTCCTGTCAGCATCTGGTTTCTGCTTATCTTAAACACAGACTCGCAGACCACAGGTGACGTCTGCAGTATTTGCAACTGCAGAATGTTTGTATATTCCTGTTTGGACTGTTATACTTTGATCTGGTATCTGAGCAAAAGAGGGATATATTCCATATCCCTTTATCTGATTCTTTCCGCTCCATTCCCCATCACCTTCGCTTCTAGACTGATTTGGCATTGAACGTTAAGACCTGAAAAAATAGACCATGGAATATAATACTAATGATTCATAGGTTGGCCTTAGCCAGTGACAGTCTATACAGGCATTGCAGCATTGCTCAAACTTTTAATAAAGGAGGATTTCAGTACAAAACAGACAAATCTCATCTTTGAATATTTTCAAACTCTTGCAGGAAATAAATCATGTAATAAATTGGTATTCTTTTTTTAAAACAATGGTTCCTCTCCTTTCAAGACTTAAAAAAAAAAAATAACCCCTTGAACCATAAATTCATATTACATCCTATAGAGAAAAAATTGGTATTAGTAAATTATTTATAGGACTAGGAGGAGAGGCAGGCTACATTTCAAATATATAACTGAAATGCTAACATAGTTTTCTGGGCCCCTCATACTTTTATCTCTAGGTTTGCTGGCCAATTAGTATAATCTCTCTGTTGCACCCGCAGGCCCTATCTTGGCATTGAGTTAATGTCCTGTATTTTCTCTTTTCTTGCTCCACCCACTGTGCCGTACACTTGGAAGTAAGTTCATGACTCACGTGGCCTCCCAGTTCGCCTCCAGCTATGTGTTTTATTGGCGGGATTACTTTGAGGACCAGCCCCTTCTGTATCCCCCAGGCTTTGATGGAAGAGTTGTGGTATATCCTACCAACCAGACCTTGAAGGACTACCTCAGCTGGCGGCAAGCAGATTGTAAGTGAAAGGAATTGAGCAGATGCAATTAAACCACCGATTCCAGGTGTTAGAGGTGGTAATCTGGTACAGGTTTGGCTCACATGTATTTTGTTTGGAGTGAAATATATTTTTTAAATTTTTTAATTAGTTTAGAGTAATTGAAAAATGGGGAGATTTCAGGTAAATACTATTTCCAGCTTTTTTTTTTTTTTTTTTTTTTTTTTTTAAATCAGGGGATCTGGCAGTAGAAGGTCTATATCCCACTTACTGTTGCATAGAACCTCTGCAGTGGCTGCTGCCTTTACATACACACTCACAGGAGCCACTGGCGCCACAGTCTCTACCAGTCCCTGTTCCCTCTCTGGGCGGGGGGGTGGGGGGGGGTCACCTACTCAGTGAGTTTGAGTCGTGACTCCCGCCTACATGACTGTGATGACATGTTTGTGAGACTTTCTCATTTGCTGTAACTTGATTTGCCAGAAGAACTGGAAAAGCGGTGGGAGCAGTGTAAAGTACGTAATTTGGAAAGTATTCCTAAGCTCAATGCACAAGCTAACAGATTGGTGCAAAGCATAACTGAAATGACAGAATAAAAAACTGTTAGGAAATAAGTTTGTTTCTGGTTGCCCGCTTGCCCCCGTGTTTCCTGTGTATGGGTTTGGGAGGGTCACTAAATACCTCTGACAGCTCTTTCCTTGAAGGAGAATAGAGGTGGGGCACTAGTATTCTTGGAAGCAGGAATACCGAATAAAGATTGCATATGTACAAACAGTGCTATTTTATTTTCCTGGCAGGTCATATCAATAATCTCTATAATACAGTTTTCTGGGCACTCGTACAGCAGTCTGGACTAACACCGGTACAAGCCGAAGAGAGATTACAGGTATAAAGGTCTTCCTGTGTTAATCCTTAACTGTAGGCTCTCCCATGATATTTTGCATTCTTTTAAAGCTTTGTCTACAGCTTTATTTTGAAAGCATATAAAAATCATTCCCATAGCAGCTCTGTTGCTTGCTCGCTTGCGTGTTCTGTGATGCTATGTGGGTTACTACTACTCCCTGAGCCTCAGGGTCCTCCCCTGGAAAGTGGAAGCAGCGACACTGGCTCTGCGTTCCCACGGGGGAGCGCTTGGCTGGAGCTGAGCCTGGACTGCCCTCCTCGGACAGGGCGTGTGCTCTTCTTTTTCCGTCAGTCCCCCTGCCTCTTCCCTCATTGCCAGTCCCTGCCGGGCACCCGTCATTTCTCGGGTCTACGACCCCAATGTGTTGTGAAGATTCTAGGCTCTGAGAGTCAAGTAGTTGTACTCCCATCATGTTTTGGTTTGATTGTATCCTCTCTGACTTAGTTTTTTATAGGTAAAATGTAGGAAGCAATAGTTCCTTCCCCATAGGTTTATGGTGAGAATTAAATGATGTGATACATGTAAAACACATCAGATAGTACAAAGCACATCGTTAGAACTTAATAAACACTGGTTTTTATTATAAATGACAATGCTACTTGTAGGATAAGGAATGATGTGTCATAACAGCTCCTAATACAATGTTTGGTCCTTTATATTATTCAGTAAATGGTTGCCATTACTAACGATGATGATGAAGATTTATTTACAGGGTCTGGCCCAAAGAGCACCTTGATTTTATTACAGAATCCTTTATTACAAAATCATAAGCATGTAATTCTGTAACATAACAATATCACACTCAAGCACAACACATGACATCATTTTAGGTGAAATGTTCAAATTAAAACTATAAATTATTATACCCATATTATTTCCCTACCGGCCACACTCAACCAGGTATTACCTCTGCCGGACCCTGTGTAGCGGTAACAGGAATACTAATAGGTCTCTCCAACTTGGAAGAGCCGAGTTTATATTTTGATTCTTCTTAGAAGAATAAGAGCAACCTGTAGTCTTGGGCAATTTATATAAACTTTCTCATCTTCAGAGTCCTCATCTCTAAAATGGAGATGGTTACAAGGGTCAAATAAGAAACTGTACATGGAGTATCTAGTGCAGCACAGAGATCTCACTGTTAATTTCTGTCCCCCCATCGCGGTCATGACTTGTGAAGCCAGTGCCCGCTACCGAAGAGAATTTTTTCACATTCAGTATTATTCTGTGTTAGTTTCAGGTACACAGTACAGTGGTGAGCAGAAGAGAATTTTATGAATTTATATGTCCAGAGATTGAAAGTGCTGTTAAAATGCAAATTCCTCAGTATCAAAAGATGTTTGATAAAACACTTCCACTCCTTGATTTGTGGAAGTTTAGGTAAAGGGTGGAATAGTAGGGTTAGAGGAGAGGTAAGACATATACAGCTTTGTATATCTGTTTTTATTTCCTCAGGGAACCCTCGCAGCAGACAAGAATGAGATTTTGTTTTCTCAGTTCAACATCAACTACAATAATGAGCCGCTGATGTATAGGAAAGGGACTGTGTTGATATGGCAAAAGGTAATGCTCTTGTGTCCCAGCAGAAATGGGGGTCAGGAAAGGAGAGCGTCTCTGCCCATCCCAACTTTGTCTTGCCTGCAGTTACTAACACAAATTAGATCCTTCCCGAAACGGGAAGCTATAGATTACTGTTGCCATGCCTCTTTTTTTTTTTTTTTTTTTTTTTTTTTTTTGGTCAGTCCATGCTCGTTGTATCAGTTTGTCAGTGAACTTTGTGGTCTTGAATCCTTCCTGTGACTAGAATCACAGGATTTTAGAACTGTGACACTTATTTTTCTGTGTCATAAGCTCTCCTCACATCAAATAAAACCCTGTTAAAGGGTTAACAGGTATAAGGATTGTTGCATTCATAGAACATTTAAAGAATACTTCCTCCTACACGGGATAATACCATTAAATCATCCATCCATCCTGTGACACCTGTAATGTGAGGCCCTAAGAGAGGTTGATACAAGGGTTCTGACACTTGGAGAAAATTCACAAGATTCCCCAGACATTCATACGTATCTTAATATTCTGCAGTGAGTCTGTACATTTACCTAAACCCTTCATTCTACCATTATTTTCTCTCTAAACCACCTCCTGGTCATAACGATTTCTCTAAATTTATTTCCTTCCATCCAAAGTAGTTTTTCTAAAATGAATGTTTTCAAGTATTAAGAGGAACCTTGAGAGTTAGTCAGTCATTCCACTAGCAGCTTCAGCTCTTTTATTAGTATTTTTAAAGCTCATTTGTTGTTTGGATACTCCTTAATGCTGGTGGGAAAGCAAAACTGCCATTAATTCTGCAGTTACTTTTTTTAAAAAATTCTATAGTTATTGCTAACAGGAAGAAGAAATCTCTCCCCTGTTCCTAAGATGTTCTTTTAGAATATAGGAACATAACTTTTTAAAAGTATTTTTAATTATAAAGAAATTCATGTATGTTGAGATATATGTGTATCTGTGTATCTCCTGATAAATATATATATATGTTGGAAGTACATAGAGTAAAAAAGCAAACCTCCCTCACATCTCCCCCTTCTCTCCCAAGCCCACTCTTCAGTTAACAATGTCAATATTTTAACTTAACTGTAGGTGGAAGAAGCTGTGACAAAAGAAGTTAAGCTGCCAGCAGAAATGGAGGGGAAAAAGGTGGCAGTGACCCGAACCAGGACTAAGCCAGTCGCCTTGCACTGTGATATCATCGGGGATGCTTTCTGGAAGGAACACCCAGCGATCCTAGATGAGGACAGCTGACCCTTTGCTTTGCTTTTCTGCTGTACTTAACCATGGAAGGCCCCGCAAGTCTTCCGGCCTTAAGTAGCGTCCCTTCCACGAAGAACAGTGTCCCAGGAGTGACGTGACTCTGGTTGGGAGGGGAACAGGGAAGGAAGGCATGGATGGGGTGAGGAATCTTGTTCTCTAAGTGGGACACCTTTTATGCAGTGTTAGAACATGATTCCTTTGATAGAAATGCATTTTTAAAAAGAAATCATGGCACTATTTTTATAAAGTGAAAACCATTTTATGCCTTGCCAAATGAATCATTTTTAGATTGTGGCACAAGACTTAGAAAAACCTGCCAAGCTCTTTCCACCTGTGATAGAGGATGAGTCCAAAATTTACTCTGGCACGCTTGTTCTTAACTAGAGGATCCAGTGACCTTAAATCTCACCTTTCCCACCCATCTACTTGGCATTCATCTTTGGCAGACCTGGAGATAAATATAGGTCAATGCCTGCAGGATGTCTCTGAATTCAGGAATTCTAGGGAAAACTCGGCTTTGTGTCACCCTCCAAGTTGGCAACCTTGGCTGAACAAATGAGTAGTTTGGATGTCCTTAAACATTCCATAGATTGATTTCGTGGAGTTAATCAGCATGACCATCGTCCTCTTGCCAGGGTCATTGTTTGCAAGGCCACTTAATCTCTTTCTAAGAAGAGTTATATGTATATATGAGAAGAAGAAAATAGGAGAATGAGTGAACTAGGAGGGAGAAACATTCACTCCATGTCCTTTAAATAATTGTTTTAAAAGTCACCTTGTCTCCTGTTGGTCTTCCTGAAAAAGGTGCTGAGGTAACGTTTGTATAAGCAAAACAATGACATAAGAATTGGAGAGCAGAGGGGTCAACACTCCCCTTGGGGTTACTGGTGGCAGGTGTCAACAGAGTCCTCATAGCTCCTCCACCTGGTGATGGCAGTGGAGATGGGATGGGTGAGGTGCCCAGAGAGCCACAGCAGTAATTTCATGTTGCCAAGCTGTTGGCCTCTGAAGGGGGGAGAGGGTGGGGGCAGGTGGTGAGAGAACTCACATTGCCTCTTGTCCTCGTTTCATATTTTAGAGGAAAAGTTATTTGGCTCTATTAAGAATTAAGAGACAGCCCATGTTCCAGTGCCTGGTCGTGCATTGCAGAATTTACAGCCAAGAAGAAAATGTATTTTTGAAAGAGCAACGGCTGGTCTCATCCCTCACCAATTGATACCCCATCTGTCCACACCATGTTTTTCCTTCCTGTTCTTAACTCACATGAATAGAAGATGTGGCTCATGTTCAGCAATTGATAAAATCTCTTTGAGAAGAAAAATAAAGGTCTCAACTCCCTAGACCTAGTTTTTTTACTTTTTTCTCATACAAATGCAGTATATGAGTCCAATTGTGTGTGTGTGTGTCTGCATAAGCCAGAACATACCTTTCATCACAGCAGTGGTTCACAGATTTCTGGCTGCAGAAATGGAATGCTTGTTTAAAATGGTGATTCCATATTCTCCCATAAGGATTTGGGGTTCAGTAATTTGGTTTTTAACTCCAAAGCCTTCTGATGCCTATGGTCATTGATACTCTGCGTTTTGGACTACAAGGTACACTGTGATAGGCCAAATGAGGCAATAAGAAAATGTAGCTCTTGATTGCAAGTGTAAGTGTTAAGTAAGTTTATAGGATTTCATATCAAAACATATATAGGCATTAAAGTACAAGTTTTCAAGTTTGTACTTCAAAGAAATGTGCTTTCTGTGGATGCTCTTTAATACTACAAAGGCTATTTGATTTTGTCATAAGACATGGTGAAAAGCATTTGTTCCTTGAATTGCCAGCAGTTTGCAGCTTTGGGTTTTTTGGCACAGGGTTTTGAGTAAATGACTATCCTAGGCTTAATATTCATGCCGTAACTAAGTATGTAGTGCTATTGCTTGATGGGTTTTGTTATCTTGATGTATTCATCCCAATGTATAGTGCAGTTGTATGTTCATTTTCATCTTGCTCTCTTAGGATCGAGAATAGTATTCTCTTGGGATTCCTTTTAAAATCTAAAGAAGACACACAAAAGCAGATGTTGTGGAGTTAATACTAGTGATAGTTTGGGGAATGGTGGCAGTTAGATTTTTGTGACCTGTAGGTAACTGGAACATCTTACCTATGCTGGGTAAGGGGACAGTTAATACCTGGGCCTTTAGTGAAAACTATCATTTTAATATTAAAAAACGTTTTGCTGGGCAGAGGGGTATAAAGTACAGCCAGACTTATAAATCCTCCATCCTGTGTTCCAAGAGCAGGGTCATTTCCTCCCGTCGTTTCTCAGCAATGCTTAGAAAACCACTGATAAATTGCATTTTCTTTAATACTAAGATTTCTGTGTTAGTGCAAATTACTTTTTGAATAGGATGTAAGAAATGGAGGACTGGGAGCCACCCACTCTTCATTATTTCATTGTGCACTTAACCAACATTAGCTAACATTCATAGAGCATTTATGCACTCTATATACTCTATATCTTCATTGTTAGGGCAATTCTAGGACGTAGGAACTATGAGTCATATTGAAGATGAGAATGTAAAGACCTAGAAAAGCTAAGTAATTTGAATCCAGGGAGGCTTAATCCCAGTGGTACTCAGCATGAAAGCAAATTGGGACAATTCTTGCTCTCTTCCCGCCAGCTCAAGCTAGGAGAAAACAGCAGTCCCAGCAAGCAGAGAAACTCCTGGGGAGTTTGTTAACATACTGGTCCTGGACTCGACCCCAGGGAATCTGGGGTATTAACGAACACGCTAAGTCATGCACAGATGGGGAAACATTGTATTAAAACAGATTAACCCGTTACCAGTGCGCTGAGGTCGTAACGCTGACAAGCCGCAGCTTTGCGCCACGCCCCCGGGGCGCGGACCGCGGACAGGTGCTGCCCTCCGGCGGCCGCGCCGGCGCAGTGCGACCCCGCTCCGCGGCTGCGCAGTGCCGCCCTCTGGCGGCTCCACTCCTTCTTCCCATCGGCCTCAGCTTGCGGGCCTTTCAAACATGGAGGAGCGGGAGCGGGGGGCGAGGTCGCCCGGTGCCGGGAGCCCAGCGCGCCCGCCCAGCCCAAGGTTGGATGTCAACTCGGACAGCTTCGACCCGCTGCTGGCCTTGTACTCGCCTCGCCTGCCTCCCATCCCCTATCCTAACGCGCCTTGCTTCAACAACGTGGCCGCGTACGAGACCTTCCTCAGGACCGGGTGCCGGGGCGGCGGACGCGGGCGGGCGCGGGGCTCGGACCCAGCCTCAGGGGCCGCCGCCGCCGCTCGACCCTCGAGCAGGACCCGCCGCCGCCCGGACGCCCCCGCCCCGGACCCCGAGCGCATCGAGCGCCTCCGCCGCCTCATGGTGGTCAAGAAGGAAGGGGACGAGGCCGACCGGGAGGGCCGCCGGCCTCCGGGCCGGAGCAGGAAGGCGCCGCGCAACGTGCTCACACGAATGCCCTGTGAGTCCCGCGGGCGCGGAGCGGGGACCGCCCGGCTGTGCGGAAGGTGGCGGCCGAGGGGGGTAGTTGCGGGATGATAGGGCTTGGCGTATTAGGGTCTGCACGTGTTAGGAGGAGAGCCTCGTGGAGGTTTGCGGAGATAATCAGCGACCGTGGGGGGCTTGTGCTTGAGTAACGTAGGAAATGGGGGCGGTCGTCCAGAGTAATGAAGGCTCCGCACGAGCCGTGGGGCAGAGTGGAAAAAGCTGGAGCGGGAATCAGGCGCTATGGGGAGGGTCTGCGTAGGTAATGGGTGTGGTTCTGCAAAGGTGGTGGGGTCTATGGAAGTAGCTACAGAGGAGGGATGATGAGGAACTTCCACAGAGCATCTGTAGGAATGGGGCGGGGGGCGCGGGTCTGGGGCGGTGGGGCTTGGAGACCGTAGGAAGGGCTTGCAGAGGTGATGAAAGGTTTTGGGGACCACAGGCGGAAGAGGTGGTGCACAGCCAGCGTCAGCGGAGTGAGTAGTCAGTGGAGTTTGGGGACGATGGGAGGGAGTGTGGGGAGATTGTTCAGGTGGCAGAGGGGACCTAACCTTAACCCCTGCACGGTGACAGCTCGTCTTGGGGCGCTGTAAAGCCGAAGGGCCTGAGGGTCTTGGGATGCACCTGTTCATATGGCCAGATTGCAGGTGCTAGAATGCAGCGGGCACAAATGGCACTAAAACACAGACACTGTTTTACAGCTCTTGGAGCCTCCTCATAGATCCTTAGAGCAAAGCTGTAAACAGCAGAGGTTGCTAATGTGCGAATTAGGTCTTGTATAAACGGAATAGAAACAGCCCAGGGTTATATCTTTAGTCATCTGGCGAGCAATCCTGACAGCTGCCCGGTGAACGCAGTGACCTACTTAGCCACACGGAGCATCTGTATCCTGATAGCTAAATTGTGACATTATTAGATCCCCGCCTTTGGAATGGAGGGTTGTGCTAAGCAAGGGTATGTTTTATTAAGTTTGCTTTATTCCTAGAAACGCGTTTATTAAGAGAAACATCCTGAAAAGCTGTGTGCTGTTAAGGGTGCCTTTGTCAGATGCTTCGCGGTGCCAGAACATCCTTGCCCAGGCTGAGGGTTCACCCCAGCTCGCTTGTCCCACAGTAACACAAAGATGGGGTATCATGTTCCTAAAGGGAGAACAGTTTGGGGGGCCTGATTTTGCCTCTACTTTTTGCCACATCACATCTTTGAAATGCACTTGAAGTCTCGGAATGGAACATTCCTTTCTAATTTGGCAGTTACTGCTTTGCTACTAGACGGTCAAGGAAAAGAAATTTTTCTACGTGGCGAGTGGCTTTAGCTTTACCTGTGGAGCACCTTTGCTGTGTTGTGCTGACAGAGCATGAAGACCAGCTTTGTCAACTTCCCACCTTAAAATATATGCCTGGAATCAAGGCCTCAGCATTTTCATTTGCTCTGAAAATGTTACTGGTGCCACTGGAAACAGTGGTGTGTGTGTACATGGTGGAGATGGGGAGGCATCACAAAGAGTTGATGACCTTCAGAAAGCAAAAAAAAAGAAAAGAAAAGGAGAAAAACAGAAGCATAGAGGAAGACTAGATTTATTCAAGAAAGCGTTCATGTAGGAGGTAAGCTTGAGGTCTTGAAGTTAAGGAAAAGCACAGTTGCAGATAACAGTGATTATTTGAAAACAAGGCTATTGAGGTGTAATTACACGTAACAAAACACACCCTTTTAAAGTATTTTGAAATCACCATGACAATCAAGGCACAGAACAATTCCATCACCCAAAGTTTCCTCTTGCCCCTTTGCAAGCCAGGTGATCATTTTATTGCTTCTAATTATAGCTACTATTATTGAGCACATATGTGCTGTACATTTTGCTAAAGCCTTTTAGATGCATTATGTCGCATTTTACCCTTAGATACAACTTTATAGATGAAGAAGCTGAGGCCCAGTTATTGCCCGTTAGGGCCCAAGGTGACATAACTGGTCAGTGTGCAGCTGAGAACCCTCGGTTTGTCCAGCCCGGCGGCCTCTGTGCTTACCCCTTATGCCAGTCTCAGGGGAGAGGAGGAGAGGACATCGTTCTCCTGTTTGCTCGCTTGCTTGTTGTTGATGTGTGGCGGGTGCTGCATGTGCGAGGCCACGGGCTTGTGTCCAAAGCAGAGAGAATGGAATTTGGGTCCAGAGAGGGATTTGTTGCTAGGATGCGTGGAAGAGCCAAACTAGAGAGTTTTTTTTGACTTTGTGATGTTAGAGAGTAGGAACCATGGTGGGTGTATACTCTTAAGCAAAAGCACTTTTAAGGCAAATGTTTCTAGGAGCTAAGTTTCTAGTAGTAAAATATATTTGGGGGTGGATAAGAACACAGGGATTTGCCTACCTATGTTTGAATACTACTGGCTTCTCCACTTCTAGCTGCTGTAGTTTAGGCAAGTTACTTAAACTCTTTAGGGCCTCAATTTTCTCATCTGTGAGATGAGGACAATGATAGAATCTACCTATTGTTGTGAAGTTTAAATTAGTTAACACCTTTAAAGCATTTGCAACAATAATGTTCCTTAGCATGTAGGAAAATTCTCGGTGAACGTTCAGTGTCACTGTTAGACTGTCATTACAAGCTCTTGGTCAGGATGCACGTACCCTGCCTGTATTGATTGTTGGCTCAGCTGTTAGCTAGGTAGGTAACTTTGGCAAATTATTTAAACTTTTCTGAGCCTTGGTTTCCTCCTCTATAGAATGAGGTGAAATGAGAATATCTGCATTTTAGTTGCGAGGATTAAGTGAAACAGTGGTACATAAAGTTAAACTTAGCACAGAGCGTGGTCCATACTGAGGGCTCGGTAATTGGTGACAGTGACGGTGACATGATGATGATGATATGGTTGGCTGTGGAAGAAGGATCTTAGTTACCGAGACTCTGTTTGAGTTCTGTGATGGCCTCGAACAGGGAGAAGTAAGGGTGGAGTTAAAACAGAAATGACCTGGATTTGGAAGAGTGTGGCTGAAACCTCGCAGCAATGGAAAAGGGGATTTAGAAGAAAAACTTTCTGCAAAGATGAGGGTTCTTCCCCCCTCTTTGGTCATGTGACGTTTTTGTAAGCTTAGCTCAGACCTATTTGGAGTTTGTCGCGGAGACTGCTGGAAGAGATGCACAGTGTGCATTCTGATTCCGAATGGGAAGCTCATTTTTGCCTTGGCAGTTTGCTCTGATAGGTGGTACTCGTTGTCCCTATGATCACAGAAGGAGAGAAATGCTTCCTGGAATTACACCTTATTGTTTTTGGAAGGAAAAAAATCAAGGGAAAGACACAGATGTGACAGTTGGAAGACCTGAGTTTCCCATTTGTTAAATTAGAATAAGAGACTTGTTAAGATACGTGCTTGTCCTTTCCCTTTGATTTGGGGAGTGGAGGGAGAAGTAGTGCCCTATTTTTCCAAGTTAGAAAAAGAATGGTCTTTCCACTCTTTGTGGAAACATGTATGTGTAAGGGGGTGCTGTGGAGGCAAAGTGAGTAATCCAAGCGTTGTGATCAGTTTCTAAGAAATTGAATTACAGAGATTTACTCCTGAATCTAGACACTAACTAGTCCTCTAACTTCACTTTATGAATGAGGAAACTTGGTCTAGTAGAGAGAAAATCACTTACCAAGGGCACACAACTAGAGGTAATAACCTGAAAGAGGTAATAACCTAGAAGTAATAACCTGGGTTTAACACAGTTTGTAACACACATCCAGATGCATGTACACACACACACACACACACACACACACTATATGGTAAAAGAATTTTAGACAATTGCTAGAGGAAGGGTAGATGATGAAGGTCAGACTACGGTCCTCATGTTCCTTTTTACAGCTGCTGTTTCTGCCATTCCGCTTCACCTGTGCCTTCTTGCTGCATCTTCAGTCTGACTCAGCTCCTATGTCTCACCTTATGTCTCTTTCTTCCGAGAGTATTTTATTTATCACTGCCATCATTTATAAGCCCTTCCATGACTGGAGAATAAGGTCAAGAATGACCAATTGAGTTATCCAAACTGAAGTACAGAACTGTTGTTCTATTTTATGCCCCTAGAAAGAAAACAGTCATTTTTTGTTTACTATCAATGGCAGTAATCTCCAACAAATTTTGCCTTGCAAACTTGGGAGGGAGGGAAAGACTGAGCCTGTGTATGCATGAGTGTGTGTGAGAGAGAGAGAGAGAGAGAGAGTGTGTGTGTGTGTGTGTGTGTGTGAGTGTGAGAGAGAGAGAGAGAGTATGTGTATGTGTGTGATATTCTTTTGAGAGGTTGTATATACTATATAGTATAGGCTGTAAATTGTGAAGGTTAAGTTAACATGAAGTAATAAAAATAAAATTCACCCCCATTCCCAGGCTCTGCAAAAAAGCATCCATCATAGTAAAAGCTGAAATTATTACCCCAGCATTCTCATGCATTGTCACAGTGCTCTTTTTACATGATGCTCATGAGCAATCTCATAGGAGCCAAATGCTCAGCAGGTGCCTTTACCCCAGCAAGGCTTGGAATTCAAGCAGATCTCTGCTACTGTGAAGGTGATGTACACTGAAACACTTCAAACATATGAACAAGATGTTTGGTTCTTTGGAGGGCTCAAGCTGGATATGTGGTTCACGAGAATTATCCTAAAAGAAGTTGTCTTAGCAAGACACAGAACTGAGAAGAATCTAGGTGCTGTGTACATTTAATACGGTATTTCTTTTTTGCCCAAAAAGATTTTAAATGATTGTGCATCTTAGAATCATAGACTATGAGATGTACAGAAAGTGAAACTTTTGGATGATAGCCATTCACATGGTTTGTCCACATGATAGTGGAATCTTGTCTCATTCCAGTGCGTGTTGCCTGTAACAGCCATATTGCCCATGGGCCGTTCTGTTCTCATGGTGAGGTTGCCACTGCGCCATGCTGCCTTCCGTTGCTGGAGATGGATCGGTAGTCTTGGATATTAATTCTGGGAATGAGAGCAGATGCTCGTGCTATGCTGACTATTCTTCTCTTGTTTCAGTGCACGAAGGCAGCCCTCTGGGTGAACTCCATCGTTGTATCCGGGAGGGGGTGAAGGTGAATGTTCACATCCGCACTTTCAAGGGACTTCGGGGCGTCTGTACAGGCTTCCTCGTTGCATTTGACAAGTTCTGGAATATGGTAATTAAACCTTCCTCAAGGGGCTGGAGAACCTCATGGGGATTAAATCTTTTTATAAGTCTATGTCCTGAGTAACCTTATTCAGCAAAACCTGCAGAATAACTTCCAGAAGAACCAGAATGCTTACATTCTTTTGGGAAACAACAAAAAGGTTCTTTTTATTGTTTTCTTTTCCTTAAGACAGTTTCAGTTGGGTGATTTTGCCCTCTCTCCCTCCCAGGGACATTTGTCAATGTTGGGAACAGTTTTTTGATTGTCTCACTGTGGAACAGGGTGCTCCTGGCACATAGTGGGTAGAAGCCACAGATTCTGTTGCGTGTCCTACAATGTAGACAGCCCCCACCCCAAGCAATAAAAATTCATCCAGTGCAGAATGTTTTTAATGCCAAGGTTGAGAAACCCAACCTTAAGTAATAATTACTTATTTTACCTGTTTAATAAGTAATTTTATATTTATTTCTTATTAAAAATATTTATTGACATCCCACTTTGGCTGAGCACAGTGCTAAGTACAAAAGTTTCAGAAAGGAACTATCACTCTTTTGTTTTTGGAAAGATAAAAAATGTAGTAAAGATTAAGTTAAAGAAAGATAAGGATAGAGGGGAAGCAGACATATTGATAAGCAAGATACTTTGCATAGTGTTTCTTTAGGAAGGAATGTGCCACATACTCCAAGCCTTCTTGAGGCTATTGTTTACTAGATATTTGAAGAAGAGAAGGGATACATTATATTATAGCATAACTGTAATGTGAGACAGTTAAAACAGGAGCCATCGGGCTTTCTAGTGTTTCTTTTCCATATGGTTGGCCATCTCCAGCTTTTCTTTTCCCTGTACTTTATCTCCATCCATGCATTCCCCTGGATAATAGTAATAGTTGCTAATATTTAGTAAGCTCTTATGTGCCAGATACTATGCTAAGAATTTTATATATATATTATCTCGGGGAATGAATTGTAGATCTATTACTGTTCCATTTCACAAATGAGGGAATTGAGGCTGCAAATTTTGGAAGATTGGCCCAGATCACACCATTAGTAAGTGGAAGTACAAGGACTTTGTGTTCTTCCTGACTTGTAAAACCGTATTTTCAGCCAGCATGGAATCAGAAACGTGGATTTAAATCCTAACTTTATCACTTGGTAACTGTGTGACTCCAGGCAAGATAGCTTCAGGTAATTTCCGAGGCTCAGGTTTCTCACCTCTAAAATGTGTGTTGCGGGGTGGGGGGTGGGGGGATTTTATTATTATAATTTTACCTTTGAAGGAAAAGGATTTAAGAGAACATGTAATGACGGTGGTGGTAATAACGATATCGTCATCTTGTATTTGAGTGGTGATTTACACTTTTCAAAATAATTTCTCACACACAATCTCACTTGATCCTAACAGCTGTCCTGTGAGGCTGATCTTTCAATGATGAGAATTGACCAGTAATTCAGTGTGTAACTCTGGTCAGTCTCTGTTAATTGCTGTCATAAAACTTAGAGCTGGGAAGGGGGAAGAAGCAGTAGAGTAGTGTTTCTCAAAGTTTGTCTAAGGCTGTCCTGCAGCAGAATCACCTGGGATTTCTGGTTAAAAGAGAAAATTCCTAGACTTCATCCCAGACCTGCTGAATCTGAATCTCTAGGAGAGTAGTAGCCTTGGATTCATACTTTAGTAAGCTTCCTGGATATTTATGCACAGCGAATTTAAGAACCTCAGTACAGTTGTAGAGGCCCCTTACCACAGTAGAAATGTCTTATATGGTTGTAGCCGCTTGGAAATCCTACTCAGAGGTTCCCAGGTATTACCATTTTTTTCCTGCCCAATAGTTGAGTCACCTCTTAGGTTTAATTCTCCTACAATTAGATGTTATTCTGCCTTGTAAATTTTTTTCCTGAAAGTTATAGAAATATTATTTTTAACTGTCTTATTTTTCCCCTTTGGGCTGTTTTCCTAGGCACTTACAGATGTGGATGAGACCTACCGAAAGCCTGTTTTAGGCAAAGCGTATGAGCGGGATTCTTCACTGACTCTCACCAGGGTAGGCAGTTTCTCCTCATTTCCTGAGCACCCAGCATGCTTTCAGCTTAGGAATGAAAGTCAGTGAGCCCCATGACCAGGTTTCCTAGTGGCACAGCCCTGGTGCTGTCAGCCAGGCATGCCTGGGCCAAGGTCTCGTGAGTCTCTCCTCCTAGGCATGCAGCTAATCTGAGATGAGTTCCTGCTTCTGAGCTGCAACAAGGTACCTTGTACCAGATTTAAAAATCTTTCTCTTTTACCCTGTAGAAATAAGCAGGCACCTTTTCTCTTGACATACTTGCTAATTTATGGGGAGAAATAGAAAATTCATTACTTTTTAAAAGTTGTGAAGCAAGTCGTCCACGGAGCATAATTAAAGATATTGGTCTTTTTTTCTGTATAGTGAAAGAGGGATGTTAAGGCCTAATATTTGTCATTGCTTTCCTTATAGCTATTTGATCGACTAAAACTTCAAGATTCTTCCAAGAAGGAGGCAGATTCTAAGTCTGCAGTTGAAGACTCCACTCTGTCTAGATACTCCCAGACATCTACTTGGAAGGTAGCTTCAGTGTGGGGAAGAGGAGACACTGACCGGGGTTCACGCAAACACTCCCGCTCCGTCCCTTCTTCTCTGCAGGCATCTACAAGAGAGGAGTCCAGGTCAGAGCTGTCAGGGAGGACTCTGCGGACAGAAGGGTCTAGTGCGGGAGGTACCTTTTCCAGAGCTACCACACTTTCTAGGGGCCAGTCCCGTAAGAAAAAGAGAAAGCCCAAAGTAGATTACCAGAAGGTATTCACTAGACACATAAATCAGATTTTCATTCGAGGTGAAAATGTCCTCTTGGTTCACCTTGCACAGTGACCAGCTCAGCCTCACTTGAGCTTTGGCTTTTAGAAATAAAATGCATGAATCACTGCTATGCTGTATCCTAGTATCCCAGTGAAACCCTGAGTTGGAATGCTTCCCTCTGGTGCTGCATGTGCTGAGGAGAGAGCCAGGCTCGGGCTCTCTGGGAGATGAGCTCCCTCAAGGGGAGACAGGCCTCGGGAGGGGGGGTGTTTGCATTAATAACAAGGCAAAAGCTGCACGTGGGTACACACATCTAATTTGGTATCATGGTCTACTTCAGACACTCAAACCAAATATAAGATCTTCCATTTGAATCAGGAGTTACAGTGTCAATTGAATTCAGCCCATGGACTCTATCGCATGGGGGAAAGAAGCACTCATTTTATAAGCTGGTGCCCTGAGTACTCATGAATTAGAATATCAGGGTAGCAGTACACATTGCCCTGGAGCCCTGCACACACACTTTGTAACTGACTGTTAAATTTTGCTCTACACCATTCTCTCTTAATTAAGAACTGTAATCTGTTATCTGTGGATATCTATGAGATCTAAGAAAGCTACCAGCTTATATAAGGGTAAAATTTGAATAGTTGGTATGCTTAAAACAGCCAGCAATGAATGCCCTGTTTTTATCCCTCTCCTTATTATGGAAAGGAATATGGGACCTCATCGGTCTTCCTGTTCCAGAGGTAACTTATATGAATGGCATACCAGGTGGGACTATAAGATGCTCATGTGGTGGCTTCTTGTCCTTCTCTCTAACTTCTGTGGCATGGTGCTAGTGCATGTACCCTGTGTATTGCCCCTTTGTGACCTGTCCTGTGAGCTCTATGGCAAAGGACTGTGACCTTCATGTCTGGCTTCAAAGAGAGTGCTGCATGAACTCAGTAATGTACGTGCCTCATACAGCTAAGAGTCCCCTCTCCAGGCAGGGCTGGCCCTGTGTCGACTGTCTTTCAGAATGGTTTCCCGTGAGACAGTGGTGGTAGTTTGTTATTCCCCGGTGTCAGGCTATAGAGGTTCTCACAAACAAGGGTGGGTCCTGCCTGTAAGGGACACTTCACTCACAGCCTGGCTCCAGTCACGGGAATACTGCAGCACTCTTTAACACTACTTGAATCATGTTCAAGTGCAGAATAGGTACTATCTTGACACAGACTGTTAGGCAATATTGATTTTCTTTTTGTTTTATTTATATTTGGTTTTATTTTAGATAATTCATGTTCAAAGTGAGAGTAAGAAATAGCTAACTAGTTAAAATGCTTGAAAAGAAAAATTTCCCCTGCTGCATTTTTGTGTTCCTTAGATAAGCCTTCTAAAAAACAGAGTGAATAACGTTCATGGAGCTAGGGTGCCTTGTCCTTCTGCCAGCTGGTCACTGGCTCATCATATCACAAACGGAGGGCAGGCTTGGTCCCTCTGTGCCTCGGTTTTTCCCCATGAGACATTTACCTCACAGGAACACTGAGACAGATAATTTTAGGAAGGCATTTCAAAGTCTCTAAACATGTAAGTGTCATGAGTAGTTTCTACTAACTCTGTTTCATAGTTTGGTAAGAATTCTTATGAGCAAGGCAGGTGCTGCATAAGAAAGTAATCTCCGTAGTATCATAATTATGATCCTGCTGTGGTCAGAAAGCAGTGATATCTTTAGGAACTCTTCTTCCCCATTCCATTCTGTGTCCTAAGGGACATTGGAAGTTGCAGAAGAATATCGTCAACAAGAGGAGAGCAATGTTTCATTGCTGTTCCCCTGCATCCTAGCCCCCACCCTTTTCTAATCGTTACCTTGAAGAATTCCCCTGAACTTTTTAGGGGTTCATATGACAGTACCAAAGGGAGAATAAGCATCTCAAAATGACATATCCCCAAAAGGGGATTTGTGGAAACTCTTCTGTTTGTTTTTATTTTAAAATGTATCTTATATATGTTTTTAGAGCCAGAGCAGACGCACTAAACATTCAGAGAGGTTCCATATCACAGACTTGAACAGTCAATCATCTTTGGGATCTGCCAATCTAATCTCTTCTAACTAGTGTGTCTAAAATCTCAGTTTCCCAATTAATAGTTGTCTTGTTTAATCATCAGGCACCCCAGGGTCTACCTCTTTACCAGTCTCCCCTCTTCGGCTATCGCCATCTGTCTGCCCTCTGTTCCTCTGCTAGAAGTTGTAATGGATACTAGATTTTCCCAATAAAGTGGAGATTTGAAATCAAAAGGAATATAATCAATTTCTATTCATTCTAGTGCCTGATTAAATCTAACTTGACTTATTTTAAACACATGCTTTTTTTCATGTTTGTATACAATTTTCATTTATCCATATAAGGATTGATTTACTTCTTTTCTGCCCAACTTGATAATTCCAGCTCTGAAAATTATTTTAAAACTCTGTGACTTGATTCATGTGCCCATTTATTTGTTTAGTTTGGACAGTGATTTTGGAATGAACGAACTATCTAGTAATGTGCTATTTTATACAAAGCATGATACTTTTTTAGAGAAGTCTGTTTTTAAAAATAATTGCCTTTTTCTTTATTATTGGAGAAATTTTTCTTAAGGAAGAAAAAATACGTCCTAACAATGTATATGCTGCTCAAAAGAATGTGATAATCTAGGCCATTATAGTAAATTGCTATGGACACAACTGAAGTCTTCCTCAGGAGGAGAGAGAAGGGGGCAGTAACAGCAAGAAAGGTAGGGTTCTGGAGGCCCCCCCACCGGCTTTCCTCACGGGGCTCACTGCCTCTGCAGTGCAGCAAAACTGGCTTCTCATATTCAGAGATTTAGATTTGGGAAACTTGGTTGGAATAGCACTTATTTTTGAACATCCAACTTTGGTTCTTCAAAGTAATCTCTATACATGGGAATGTGTTTTCTAGACATTTTCACAGGGCATACCTATATTCTTGTTGAGGTCCTCTCAGGAGTTTCCAGCATTGTTAGGTAAGAACAAGGGATTAAGAAATGGAAGATAATGATTTCAGCACCCAGAAACCGTGTGCCATTCTTTGCACATAGAGGTAATTCTGCTCTGCCATGAGGAGAACTTGCACTTTAGGTTGTTGGTTCTAGTGTCTGGGAAGCATTTATGCTGCTTCTCGGAAACCATCTTAGGACAGAAGTGGACTGTTGGCGAGGTAGCCAGAGTTAGCAGCGTCCAATCAGTACCCTGCTCTCTGTGCATGGTGCATGTCAGGTCAGAAAGCTTAGAAACCTCTCGCAGTAAAGTCGAGGTACACAGGAGTCCTTGCTATGAGTTGTTAGTGGATCAAGAGGGCTTTTATCTATTTTTATGGTGAAATAGTCCAGGAGCACTTTTAGAGACTGTCAGGCCATGAGCTATGAGCTATGAGCTGCCCTTGATCCTCAGAAGCCTTTCAGAAATGTGGGTGTACTGCTTCTGTCCCTTGAGAAAAAATAGAAACCTAACTTGATGAAGAGGAGATATTTGTATTCCTGTCTGCACTATGCCTATAGCAGCTGACATGGGTAAAATCATGAAATAGAATAGGTGCTGTAAATTACTACTTTAAATTTGAAAAATTTAAATTATTCAGGCAGCTAGCTGTCACTGATGCTGCCCTAAAGTTTTCCCATCCTTTGTGTATTTTTTATGAATGAGATTGCTGTGGGAGGGTCAAGGTTTATATAAGGGGCATCATAATATAAATACAGCGATTTCCCAATTGTAATTTTTCTTTTCCTGTGTCAGATACAGAATGCAGTCAACCCCTTTCAGTAACTTCTGTTCATCAGCCCATGTTTTTCTGGGCAGTAACTCCCAAAAGGCTTTCTTAGTAATTGTAAAGCAAGAAATTCTTATCTGGGCCTATGTTGCAAAGGTTGGTGGTCTGTCACTGCTTTCTGGACAATTGAGTTGATGGATTTAAGATAAGCCTTTGGGGTTCCTGTCACTGTTTCCTTCTGAGGAAGGGTTGCGCCTTCTTTACTCTCAGTGTTTTAAGTGTTTTTCAAATGTTTGTAAATTCTCTTGCACTCCTCTAATAAAAATGAAAGCTCTCTCTCAAGAAATGGCATTGGATGATTCGGAGATCTGGGGGAGAAAACAAGTACACCCGAGACCTTCAGTCGGTCTTTTATTTGTTGAGAATAGAAAGTAGTTTGATAAGCAACCAGAGTTAGTGCTGCTTTAAAAATACTCTCTGAAAAGATGGGACTGTCCCTCAGGAAAGCTATAAAAGCTATTCCCAGTACATTGCAGTTGCCTTTGATTTTCAGTCCTTTGGAGCAAACATCTGATGTTATGTTTTTAGAGCTGTGGGGTAAAAATGTCTAAAAATTTTAAGAGATTTTATTTAAACAATGATTATCTGGCTGAATTATGTGTGAGCTAGGTTCTAGGACAGATGTCCAGTTCTTTTTCTGTTGTCCTGACAATAAAGCAGATAGTAAGTGATGTCTTGAAAAGTGATTTACTTATTTCATACTGACATCTTAAGACATTTGCCTTCGGGGCTACCCTGGGGATACCCCTCTGCACCGTGACTTATTACTGTTTTTTTAGACAAGGCTAAACCTGGATGACTCTGAATTTATAGTTTTTCTATTCATATACCAGCTGCTAAAAGAAAAACTGTGACTTATAATCTTGTCTCAAAATTACTCCTAATGATAAGTTCACTTAACCCCTTCCTGTTTAGGGAGGATTGCTGCTAGTAACGTCAGTTTGCAATGTTCTGCTTTAGATATGTGCCATACGGGATCTGGAAACTGTAATAAATATGATTGTATTAATGTACTGGCTGCTTTGTCTCTGCTGATTTTGGGGGGGAGGGGAGAAGAGGCAGGGAAGTCTGTTACCAAGAGAAGATACCAACCCAGAAAGTTAAAACATTTCAAGCAATGTCATTGTTGTAACCTTGTGCCTTTTCTTTATCAAAGCACACACATCTAGATTTCTATCCTTGGGGTAACTTTGTTCCTCCAAGTTTATTTGAAGTTCATGCTTAGAAAAGAAACTTGACCCACATTGTGAATTATCTCTTCTAAGCCCCAAGCAATGGTAATTGCCCTGTGAATTCATTCCACCCTAATAGCTCACTGGCATTAATCCACTGTCTTCATGATCTGCTGAGGTCACCATTGACTGCTCCTTCTGAATGTTTTACTACATCTAATTGATCCTCACTGCTTCCAAAAATACCTGAATTTGCCATCAGCTTTTTTCTGTGCATGTAAAGATAGTTGAACTGTGCAAAGATTTGCCACATTGATTACTTGATCTCCTGTGTGTACTTCCAGAACTGTTACCTTGGGAAGATGGACAAACAGAAATCAAATTGATTCTTAGAAAAGGAAACCTCAAGTTTACTGTCAAGACCAGTTCTCGACTTTGAAAGAATATGTTTTTAGGTTGAGCTCAGCTGACATACAGGAAATTTCTAACCACCAAAGAAATGGAGCGAAGGGAGGCAAGATCCAAATGGTCCAGCTTTGGCCATTGCTTGTTTGTTTTGTGTCTCAAAGACTTGATTAAATGAGAATGTCCTCATTAATTAAAATAAAAGCAGAAGAATCAGCTAGCTTGACATTTAAAATACACAGTGACAGCTAAATATTGGCAGTAGAATGGAAGCCAGTAGAATGAGATATATCTATCATTCTTTCCCTGTGCTTTCTGGATAGGAGTGGCAAGGAAAGAAAAAGTCCCAGCTAACTACATTCTCTCCTTGGATGAAAGTGAAGCTTTTTTCCGTCTGCTAAATTACCACTAGGTGGCAGTGGGTTAAAAGAGAACTGCCTAACTAGAGGTCCCAGAAGGACCCCGCCTCTCCATATCTCCAGTTGCTGCTACAGTTGTTAAATGCTCACCAGTTTGGACTGAGATAATCAAGCAAAACCAAGCTAGAATCAACTCAAGTGGCAATATAAACGTTTCTTACCAATATTGAATTTACCTAATTTGAAGTTTAGGAAGCTTGACCGATGGCAGTCAATGAGTGAACATTGTCGGGGAAGAGTGTTTAAGAGAGAGATTGCACAGTGTCCAGTTTTAGGGATATATCACTATTCTTACATGATGGGGTTCCTCGTTTCATCTTGGAATACTGTTAACCTCACCCAGCCTGTTCTCACCTGCTGACCAAGGATCACCCCAGGAAACTGTCTTCATGCCCCTGTTTCTCAGTAGCTATCTCAATTTTGGAAACAATTCAGGTCACCCAGTATTGATGCCTGGGAGCCCATTTATGAGAAAGGTTGCAGTTCTGCGGTTCCACTACCAGAATTGAGCCTCCAAAACTGCAAGCAAATATACTGTGGATTCAGAGAAAAATTTATAATAGACACAGAAAAGTCTGTAGTTTTAGGCTGGGCCCTGGGGCAGAAGGAGTGGGTAAATAGTGCTAGAAAGTCTCAGTACTTCAAGTCAAAGTCTTCAAAAGACCTCCCCCTCTACCTCAACAAACAATTTCCCAGTGGTCTATGGTAAAGGAGAATACAGTATGTGAAATAATAAATAGATATTGTCTTCAAATGGATAACTAAAAATAAGATTGCAATAAAAAGCTTTGTCTCGTGCATTTTTGGAGCCTGGCAGCTTGTGCTATACTTCACTCAATCACTCTCTGTAACAGGGAAGAGGACAGAGCATTCAATGAGAAATACTGTCATTTTTGAGCATTTCACCCCTGTGCCAAACATATTACATGCATTACTTACAACTACCATGAGAGGAGGATTTTTGTCCCTATTATGTATGGGAGGGAAATGGGACAGAGGTTAAGTAACTTCCCAACATCTCTCTGTTAATGGCGAATTTGCAGTTCTATCTAGTTCTGACTATTGTCAGTCAATTGCACCATAAAAATACTGGATTTCTTAGGCATTGACCAGAAAATTTGAAGGGCAGGCTGAATTATCCCCTTAGACTAATCAGGTACCAGAAGGCTGGGTTAAAATATGGCTAGTTGGTGTGCTCAAGTGTCTTTAGTCTCTTCTGACTCATACTGTTCTTTGATGAGAAGTGGGCACACACTCAGGCCTTCATGGCTTCCAGAGAGGACCAGGGCAGAAAGGTGGCTGCCAAGTGCCAGAAGGTTTTTCACCCCCCAGTTACAGTTAGTTTGGCTGTCAGAGAGGTACCAATCCAATAGCCTTGTTAAAAAGAGGACGGAGTGACTCATGGTCTTTCCCAGCTCTTCAGTATGCATTTAGAAAGTCTGCCATCCCTTTCTTTCCAATATTCTCCAGCACTTGGGAAGAATGCTCCCTCTCAGTCTTGACCGTAAATTCACCTTACTTAACTCTTCTCAAGGCTAAATTATGGATATGCTAAGGCTACAGAAAAATAAAGGACCCATAGTCTTTCTCCTGAAACCAAAAAGGGAGCACAAGCAGAAAGGTTTGGCAAGTTGCTTGTCCATCTTGTAAGATTACCCATCAACTTGATGTGTTAATTTCCAGAATAAGGCAATCCTGAGGCGAGACCACTATTCTAGGCTCTTAACTCGTTACTTTGGAGTCTCAGTTTCTGGATCTCTAAAATAGGGATAACACCTACCTCACAGGGTTGCTGACAGAATGTGCTCAGTGCAGACAGCAAAGACTTAACTGTCATTCGTGCTGTGATAAGCTTGCTGTGTGGTGCTCAGCAGCTCTCATGTCCTGAGACCAGGCCTGGCAAACCAATGGACACAGCAGCGTGTTGCCATCCTTTAATCTTGCACACAGGTGTCTGGAAGATTGTTTCCAGGCTGCCTGAGTCCTCCCCACTTCCTCAGCTCTCCCCGGGTTAAAACTTCAGAATAGCATCCCCTTCCCCACTGCTGGGAGGCCTGTGTGCTCCCCCAGGAATGACATTAGGCTCCATGGGACATTCATTAGTTGAGGTTACGAAAGGACCACAGGGCACTGGAATGGTAATTTCCTACATGGGACCCCAGTGACCCAGAGCAAGCTAGCTCAGCTGGTCTGAGCATGTGGCTAATGAGGGAAGGGTCATGGTTTCACTCCTGTGTGGGCCAATTAGTGTCACGTGGAAAAGCATGCTCCAGGGGCATCAGACAGCAGCCTTATGTGTGTGGCACTGGTCACCAGGATGGCTCCGTGTAGCCATCATCACTATTGAAAACCCAACCCAAAGCCTACATTTTCTTATTATTTCATAGCTTATTGTTCCCAAAACTTTGGTCATTTTTAGAATACCATCATGATTTTTGCCTTATCCTAAGTAGACCACTGCATTTTTATTTAGTATTTTTCTATAAATTGATTCCATTTTTAGCTTGCACTTAAAAGTGATGGTACATCACTTCTAGCAATGGAAAATTGGAGAATTTATCCTAAATTTAAAGTACACATTAAAATACAACTATTGAAATGAAAATGTTTATCTTCATACTACCTGCAAATACCTCCTGAGCCACAAGTGATCAGTGTACTGTGTGTTAATAAATGTTGCAGGTATATAAGCTGTGTGTGTGATGATAATACATTGTTCTATAATAAAATGGCCACATCAGCAAAAACAGTATTTATAAAGCAATTGCTTTAGTGGTAAGAGTTGGTATCAGTGACTGGGGAGTTTCACACTTGATGTGATGAAATTATTCTTGCAGGAATTTTAACACCCGACGTCTTCCTAATAGCCATAAATATGTAGCTATAAAACCTAAACTCTGAACAAACCTTAGGTTTAATTTACATCTAGCTTTAGCTCAAAAGTCATGGCTTTTGTTCACACTCTTCGCCTGTATCATCATTAACACTGTGCTTCTTACACATCCTCATCATTATCGTCTGTTTTATAATTAAACAAAGCACAAACATGCAAAACAGACATGTTGTCTTCACAACCTCCTTGTTCCCCTCCAGTTATGCGCCCTATCATGCTAATCTTCCCAGGTGATCAGTTCCTTATGGAGATCAAGATACAACCGATAGTGGTGTTGATAATAAACCTGTATTCTTTAATTAATTCAGCATGTTACATCCAGTCCAGTTATGAAAATGCACTGGAGGACAAATACACGGAAAACACACACACACATATATAAAACACACACGGGCCTCTTCAGGGTGCAGAGAGAGATCAACCATTTCCATTTTTGAGGTTCCCAATAACTTTGAAAAATGAAGAAATGTCAAAGCAGAAATGTAAAAGTTTTGTATATCTTACAAGTTCAGGTTGAATGATGGACAGCTTTCAGTCCTGTTAGTAATGTGGGAACACAAAGTCGCCTGGGGTATAGAAGGGTGAGAAGGTGAATAGCTTTCACTTTTCTTCCTGTGTTCCCCATACCTTGCGGATTCTTGCTGCAACCACTCATTATTTCAGTGCTGCTTGAGTATCCCACTTTTATAGCTTTCTCATCATCCTTGGAAAGTCATTAATTGGTAGCAAGAGGGCCAGACCATTTTATAAGTGCCAAAAGACTTACTTAGACCAGAAAATCAAAATAGTAAGAGGCAGGAATGCAATTATAACTTCCTTCCATTGCATGTGGACATGGTGACCACTACTTTGACCACAGGAACTGCTTTGAATGACTGTTCTCTCTCTCTCTCTCTCCTCTCTCTCTCTCTCTCTCTCTCTCTCTCACACACACACACACACACACACACACACACAGAGTAAAGAGCAGGGAAAGGACTCCATGCCATTAATATCTACAATGTTCTCATGGCACCACAATACTTGCTGGAACAGTAAGGTTGGGTAATTGGGGAGTGTGGCATATGTATTTATATAAAATAGTATAAAAATTGTATTTACTTAAGAACAATCTATTAGGATTCTATTTGTATGGCCTTGTTCTAAGACTA